TTGAGAATGGTAGCCTCCTCTGCTTTCTGGCCAGGCAGCTGTCACACAGCTCGACTGCATGCTCGATGTGAGATAGCCCTCGGACCATCTTCTCCAGCCGACCGAGCGCGTCGAAGTTGAGATGGCCAAACCGAACATGCCACAGCCATGGCTCCTCGGTGTGACGTGCTGCCAGGCACACCGCCTACTTCACCTTCAAGTCGAGCAGGTACAATCGATTACATGAGCGTTTTACCTTTGCGAGAAGACGCCGCTCCCGATCCTGAATCCTTAGGATCCCGCTCTCGATCAGTTCCTCGAATCCACGCTCATTCAGCTGGCCAATGCTGATGATGCTTGAACGTAGCTGCGGGATATAATATACATCTGTTAGCGCGCGGTGCTCACCGTTCTGGCACCTGAAGATGATGATGCCACGCCCTCGGATCACCACCCTTGAGCCGTCACCGAACTTCACCGTGCCGATCACGTCGTCGTCGAGCTCGGAGAAGGTTTCCTTGGAGCCCGTCATGTGGTTGCTGGCGCCGGAGTCCAGGTACCACCGCTGCTCCTGTCCGCCGCCCACACGTCCGAGTTGGACTTGGGAGCGCGGTTCGTCAAGGTGGACAACCTTCAGAGCATTCTCAGTCCCTTCCATCGCCATCACCTCTTCCTTCTCCTTGGCCTCAACGTCGTGCAGTGCACAGAACATCGTCATCAGGAGAGTGGCGTCGTCGTCCTCATCAGCCTATGCCAGATGAGCCTCTACCTTCTTCTCCTACTTGCGATTTGGGCACTCCTTTGCTCAATGGCCCGTCTTCTCGCAGCGCTGGCAGGCGTTGGGGTAGACCTTCTTCTTCTTCTCCGAAGAAGTCTTGCCGCGACGCTTGCCATTGTCACCACGGCTGGAGGAGGCTTCCCCGGAGTTCCTCCGGGCAGCCCACTCCTCCTCTGTTAGCAGCAGCTTGCCGCTGTCCTTCGTTGTTGTGGCCTGCTCCATGCGCTCGTCCATCGCCCGTAAATGACCTGTCACATCCTCAACGGTGAGGGTGGATAATTTCAACATCGTCTCTATGGAGAGAGTAATCTGGATGTACTTCGTCGGCACGGAGTGGATGTACTTAGAGACCGCCTCTTCTTCGTCAATGGTGACGCCGTGGCTCCTCACCTTATTGATGAGCGTCTACAGACGAAGGGAGAAGTCCTCCACCGATTCACCATTCTTGAACTTAAGGTTGGCGTACTCCTGCTTTAGCAGCTGGGCTGTCGCATTCTTTGCGCGGTCGGAACTGACGCGCATCGCCGCAATGGCCTCCCACGCCTCCTTAGCAGAGTTCTTCACCCCCAACGGCTCCCTGTACTCCGCTGGCACAGCAGCGAGGATAGCTTCCAATGCTGACATGTCTTCTTCTTCGTTGTCGGTGTCCTTGTCAACAGCATTCCAGAGCCGTCGGGCTCTAAGCTTTACCTTCATGGTCACCGCCCACGCGCCATAGTTGCTGTGAGTCAGCGTCGATGTCGCTGACCTCTCGCACCATGCGCACAACGACCTCCTGTCGTGGTTGGGCAGCCACAGCCGCGCCCAAGGATGGCAACGGGGCGGTTTTGGGTCGGATATCCACGGGTTTCGGGTCTTGCGGGTTTGGGTTCGGGGATGATTTCTCACCCATGGTTTTCAGGTTCGGGGCCCCGAAACCAATCGGGTTTGGTTTCGGGTTTGGTTTTCCACCCGTGGATATCCAATGGATATCCTAAATAAATCATTTGGAATTAAAACTCATATTTTATAATATGCTAATAATAACTTATTTACTTATATTATTAAATTTAATCTAAGTTGACTCATGAAAATATTTATTATTCGTTGCCGCTTGTTTATACATGTGAATATGTGTATATATATCATGCATATGTTTATAGAAAGTCCTTATATCTCTTACTATGTCGTCCATCTGTAAACCGTCCGTCATCACCAGCGGTTAGTCCAACGACAACGCTTGTACGGCTCCGATACCGCTTGTTAGTCCCTGTATCTTCGGAATGGGTAAGCCGACCACTCACCTGCGTTGCCGACCACACACTACGACTAGAGGTAGAAAAAGGGAGGGAGAACAGATCACACACATAGCACAAGTACCAGTGTTCTCCGGAGCTCTGCAGAGGAGATGGCAAAAATGAACTCGCTCACTTTACTGAGTTGCAGTGGAAAACTATATATACAACTCTACCCATCTAATACTAGTACACAGACATGTCAGGCAACCATACTGCTGCAGTGACTAGATGTGATAGCAGGGCTGACTTTGACGTCTGCCCCTGCTGTGGCTACAGTGCGGCAGGGAAGCCTTTCGGCGCCTGTCCCTGCAACAGTTACAGTGCAACAGCAGGGAGTCTTTCGACGTCTGTCCCTGCCGTGCGTTCATACAAGGAAGCAGCAGATTACTTAACAGTGTTGATGGTGGTCTCTGATGTTTTGCATGTGAAGGTTTAGAAGCAAAGGTGAGACCGTCGATGTGTTTATGAAGTTTTTGCTGCGTCTTCCTATTTTTCTTGGACTCGACGGAGTTGGCAGTGTCGCGGCGACCGTTGCTGCGATCCTGTCGACTGGCGCAGCAACTCGGACGGAACATGGATGTCGGCGCCGCCTCAGACAGGTATGAACAGATCGATCCATCGTTTGCAAGCCCCATGCTTAATCTGCGTTTGCTTGACTGTCTATAAAGAAAGCAATATAATAGAAATAAAGATAAAGCAATATAAAATGCTCCTGCAATATTTGTGCAACTTCAACGTTGCCTCCATCTGTATGTATGCCTGATATCGCAAATTTTAAGCAATACCTGTGTTTAAATCACTTCTCTTATAATCCGTCTTTTTCAGTTTTTTTTTAGCCAGAACAGTGTTTTTCTCTCATAACAAATCAGCCGGCACAGTATTTCGGCTTGTTTTTTCAGCGAAGCGAATGGGACCTATATGTAAGAATAAATATTCTTTTGTATCAATTGGATGGATAGTATTAGTTCTTTTTGGTGAGTTTTTATTCTCAGCCCAGCATCATTTTATTTCTTCTTAAAGTTTCATTCAAATGAGAATGTCTTCCACCTCCATTGAGACTGGCTTTAGTGTGTTATCAGGCTTGCCAGTTGCATGGTAATTCAGTATGCGCTGGTGGCAGTTTCTCAGTTCGTGAACATAGATGAATTTAGGTATTACCTTGATAAATCACAATTTCCTATGCTTTGTATTGGATGTAGCTAGCTTATGAAATTTTTCATCAATTTGCCTTTCCACAGGGCTGCCCCCACTGAGCGATCCACTGTGCCCCCAACATATTCGTTACTCGCTGAGCGGCGCCAAAGATGTGGTGGAATTGAGCACGCCGACATCAAAGTTTGAGCACCTCTTGATTTCTTTCTCTTTTTGCCTTTTTTTTATGTTGTATTAGCAGTCTTTTTTTTTCCTTTTTGGCGTTTAATTTGAACTGCATTATGATTTTGTCCTCTTTTGCATCACAACATGTTAGCTAGATGGATCTGCTGCATTGCCAAACAAAGAGACTCATTATTTTTTTTCCTGTCATGCTACCACGGAACCATATCAATATCATGTACTTTGTTTTCTAGGGGCATCTCAAGATTACATCTACATTCCTGTTTATGAACAGTACACTATTTGTGTTAATTTATGTTATGGTTTTTGAGCTGGACTTGATGGGTACATGGGCAAGCATGTCGAAGATAAGAGGGAAGGTGATGAGGAAGCATAGACAAGGTGAAGCAGAAGATTTAAGCTAAATACCGTACTCTCTTTCCAGGTTTATATATAATTTTAGGTTTGCAAAATTCTATATAAAAAATATAAAGACCGCCTCAATAATACTTTTTCTGAGGACAAGAAGGTGAATAAAACGGCAGATGAAAGATTTGGAGAGCTGGGGGCAACCGGAAAACAGACATGACTCTATCAGTAGGCTATGCCTAGGTAGCCATTTGTAGGCTTCCTCTCACCAATGGTGCCAAGGTACTTGGATGCATTTCGGTGTTGATTTTTTTTTGGTCTTAAAAAATACAGGGTGATTGTGGATATTGACCTCAACTGTACAAGGAACGACGCACGAGTAAGATTTTACAACCTGACTAAATGTCCACTCGCTTACAGGTATCTCCAGCACCATTGCCAACCATTCTACAGCAAGCTCTTGAGTTCACACCTTGACGGCCAAGGCACTGGCAAGATCATTCAGAGTCCTACGGCAACATACTAAAGATGTGAAAATAAGCTTTATAATTTCACTTGTGCGAGCTCATATGGATTGTTCTAATTAATAGGGTTACTGAGCTTGGAGCTAGCGCGTGTGGCAAGGGAAGAGCAGGTTATGTTGCAGAGCCATTATTATGGTGGAACATATGAGTATTTCACAAGATTCCTTAGCCTACTCATGATCCAATGTGTTATGCAGTTTGGTACATAGGCCTATTATAATTGATAATTCTATCATTTGAAATTTTGAAGCATATATACCATAAGGTAAATGACATTTCTTTTGAAATAAAGTTATCCTTTTGGTTGTAGGTTGGATTTTGATATGAATGTCAATATGGTGTTGGTGGTTAGCAACCAACTCTTGTTTGTAAATACACATCCTTTATATGAATTGAGCAGTCAACTTCTTGGGCAAATACACATTATTATTTCTATCTGTATTCTTGTTATCTATTATATGAATTCTCTCAAACGTGTATTATTATTTCTCGAAATTTTTATTGTAATTCCTCCTTTATGAATGATCCTTTTTATAGACACGTGCGGTACATGACTACTAGTATAATTACATGACTACTAGTATAATAATAAACAGCAACGACTATATAATGTTATTACTATATTAGCTATTACTGTACGATGTACAGGCCCCATAAATTGTGTATCCTGGAGAGCAAGATGAAACGGGTAATGTTCTTATGTTCACATGACCCAAAAGGACACATCGCTAATCAATTAGTATTCTCCCAGCCACACCTTTACTGCTGCTCCCTACCCCCATCTTCAGCAGTTGCAAGCTTGCTGACGCCGGAGTTGTAGCTGACGCCGTTGCGCGCCTCCGCTGTCTCGAGCGCCATCTGCAGACGTCCCAGCCCCTCGCAGGCCTTCGGTGGAGTGCCCTTGTAGGCCTTGCAGGTGTAAGCCTCGAAATTCTCGTAATCCTGAAACGACGAAAACATGTTCGTCACCACCAATGGAATGAGAGCTTGATCAAACAGTTGGGCAAGGCGAAGGGTGAGCCATGGATGCAGTTGAAGTTCAGGTGGAACTTGCCTCTAGCAGGGGCTGCCCGTCGACGACCACCCAGGGGACATACCGGTGCGGGGGCTCGAGAGCGTTAGTCTGGTTCGCGTACTCGAGCTCAAGCTGGAACAAATCAGTGAACAAGTTGCAAATTCATACTGCGTTTAGGACATGCATTGAATTACAATTACAAGAGAATGAGAGATCAGCACAAAAAAGCTATCCGAAGAAGGATTGAGAACGAACCTTGTGGCCATGTTCGCTGTTGTAGCATTGTGTTACAGGCTCGGGGTCGAGGCCCAGCTTCTGGAAGCAGGACTCCCAATCCTTGTACTGGCGCTTCACCACCAGGTCCTCCACGCAGTAGATGAAGCTGAAATGCACATCCTGTCCCCAACAACAACGACAGAGGCATACACGGAAGCCTTGAGAACTAATAAATCTGTTCCAAATTATAATTCGTTTGACCACTCGTATTATTCAAAAATTTGTACTAAATACCACTCCTTTTGTTGCGGCTTGCCTTATTAACAAAAGTTCTTCAAGAATGACTTAAATTTGACTATGTCTGTACAAATTTTTTGAATAAGACGAACGATCAAACTTGAGGTAAAAAAAGTCAAACGAACTTTAATTTAGATCTGAGGGAGTAATACTGTACAAGAATCCCAAGATTTGCTTGAGAAAAACTGCAGAAATGCTGTCGGTTTGACCAGGAAGCTTTGATCACAGAGTGCAACAACTAATTTGTCGGTGGCAGATTCATTGTTATCAATCGACGGTCGGCTAGTTGCAAGGTTTACCCGTTTTGCCGTGAGTTTCGTGGAGTCATTCTTGCATGCAGGTCAAAGCCCTATGAGTGGGCAGAGCTTAAGAGGAGAGGGGAATTACCAAATCCGGCCAGGCGTCGATGGCGCAAGCTTCCACGGTATTGAGAAGGCACTCGTACGGACCATGCTGCAACAACAACCATCAGCTCAGCAGTGTTACTGTGTTAGCATCAGCAAGACTACTAATAAGAGTAATTAACGAAATCCCCAATTCTGTCTCAGATTAACTAGGAGTAGTACACTACTCCAGCAAGCAGTGACACCCAGGATGCGAAGTCAAGGACCGCAATTCCGGACGAAGTTGCACAAGGAAACGAGAGGAGCTGGTCGGGCGGCGCCCTACCTGGCAGGAGATCACTCCGCCGGGGTGGATCCCGGCGTTGCCGTAGGGGACGAGCGTGAGGTCCACGACCTCGAGGAGGCCGTCCACGAAGACCTTGGCGAGGTGGTTCACCACGAAGCGCGCCGAGTAGGGGCACAGCGACTCGTAGTACAGCGCCACAGCCACCTTCCCGGCCACCTCCTCGCCGGCCGCGGCTGCGGTGGAGGAGGCGGAGGCGAGCAGGAGGAGCGCGGCGATGGCGAGGCGGGTGGCCATTGGGTGTGTGGATCGGTAGGTCGCCGCGTGGGGGTGTGGGTGGACGCGGTGCGTGTCTCAAGAGCAGCGATCGTGGGACCGACCGACCGAGCCCCTGAATGCGGACGGGATCCTGAACGAGTTGGCCTGCGACTGCGACCGTGCGTACAGTACGTGCGAGCACACGGTCCGACTCAACAGTATGCAGACACATCCCGAAAGAGTACCAGGGAAGCCAGCAACGGATGCGTGGTATAAGGCCGCGTTTAGGTGCAAAAAATTTTGGATTTTTTTTTTTTTTGCTACTATAACACTTTTGTTTGTATTTGGTAATTAGTGTTTAATTATGAACTAATTAGGTTCGAAAGTTTCGTCTCGCGATTTCTCACCCAACTGTGCAATTAGTTTTTTTTTATTTACATTTAGTACTCTATGCATATGCCGCAAGATTCGATGTGATACATACTACGTAAATTTTTTTTTGGAACTAAACAGCCACGAAGGTGCTGTGTTCTTGTCTGCGCAAAAAACTGACAATTACGGTGAGCCGTGAGCGAAAGCAGTAGATGGATAGCGGAGATAGCGGACTGCAAATAGCGGTGCCAAGTGCATGGTTTCGTAATTTTTGGAAAGCTCCAAGCTCCAAGCTCCAAGTACGGTTTTTTTTAAAGGTTTTCATGATTGTACGTTTGCACCCAATATTTTTCCTAATTAAAAAGTCTAAAAATAACTAAAGATTTGGAGCATATCAAACATAGCCTTGTTTGGATGCAAAGTATTTTTAAAATATTAGAGAAAAACCATGGTTTTATAAAATACTTTGGTTTTTAAAAACGTGTTTGGATGCAACAAATCTTGTAGTCTCTAAGACCATGATTTTGTCAAAAACTATAGTCTTTTTGAGTTTTAGAAACTCCACTCATTACCTTTTTTCTAAGCCACGATTTTGTGTCTCTTTGATTTATAAAACCATAGTTTTGTGATATTACAATTTTCAAAACCGCATCATCCAAACAGACCGTTAGAAGTTTCTATGTCACTGTGTACATTTTTATGGTATAAGTCACAAAGAAAATACAAATGAATAAGATATAAAAAAACATATGAGTAAATTAACTTTTGATTGTCATATCATATACTCTTATAAAGCTAAACCCCACTAGAGTTTTCTCTCAATATGCAAGCTATCCATATCAACAATCCACTAGAACTTGCAATTATAGCCAACTAGCATATGTAATTATGATAGTTATCTCTTCATCCACTGACATACATTTAGCTGTCTACATTGTTTGTGTCAAACTGTTCACCAAAATTAATTTAAGATAGTTTCATTCATATAACTATAAATATAAATAGTCTAATTTCTTTTTAAATTATCTAGAATCCCTACAGCAACGCACCGAGTATTCTCCTAGCACCAATAAAAAGGAACACCATTCTACGTCACACTCCTATTATTCTTCATTATCACCTAAACCACCATCTCTAACATTCGCCCTATTTGTTTGGGCTTGTTTGGCTTATAAGCCGTATTTTTTAGTCAACGAATAATATTTTTTTCTCACACCAAATCAGCCAACGGTACTTTCAGCCATGGTTTATCAGCTAAACAAGCCCAAACGAACTGGGCGATTATTATTGCCATTTAAACCATTTACATTAACGTCGTCTGAACCATCCCATTGTGAATAATGTCCTAGAAAGCTACAGAAAACTATCGTCCTGTTCGCTTGGTTTATAAGTCGTACTTTTTCAGCCAATGAATAGTATTTTTCTCTCGCAACAAATCAACCAACAATTCTTTCAGTCATGGCTTATCAGCCAAGCGAGCATAGCATGTATAGTGATAGCATGGAGATATCAATATTGAGCGCTAAGTGCAATAGTTGTTGCTTAATTTTAATATGGTATATTTTTTTAGTACTTATCGGCGGCAGGTGACTAACGTGTCAGTCATCTTCAACCTCCGCACCCCTCCAGCACCTACCTCGCTGTCCCACCCGCGCCTTCTTCCTCCTCGCCTCCACCCCCACCGCTGCTCCCCGTCCTGCCACGACGCTCTAGGGTTTCGCCGGAGCTCCCCGTCTTTCTTCCGCGGCGAGCTCCGGCCATGGATGCCCCGACCTGGCCTGGTCGCCTCCACCGCCGCCAAGACCCTACACCGCCCTCCCGTCGCCCCCACCGAATGGTCAGCCTTCCTCCCCCGAGCTCTTCTCTTCTAAGCCCATCGGAGTTAGGGAAGAAGAGAGAGAGTCGGCGAGAGATGACGTGTGGGGAGATGGGTGACTGATAGAAAAGCAAAATTCCAGGTGACTGCAAAGAAGTAATTATGATATTTTTTAGTCTTCTATCTTGTAGTAGTGAAGCATGGAGATCCACCACCGCTATAGTGATATTGTTGCAAGTGGTCCACTACAACTATAGCGATGTTAGACTATCTCCAATAGAGTACCTGTAAGGACATCTAAACCTAAAATGGATCTTCGGTGGTACTATATTAACCTCAACAGAATACATAAATGAGAGATCTATTTTGGCGTCATCCCTCTGAAAACCTATATGCCGCTACTGTGACCGGTGAGATGTGGGACACAGATCAGGTGAGCATGATGGTGTGGGCGCTAACATGCCACGCTTGCACGACCGCTACCGTGTGCACAGTATCGTTGTACCAGTAGTACTGTCTATTCCCAAAATAAATAAATCTTTATTTCTAACATATAAAATTAAGCAACCAATAAAAGGCTATGGAGCTGTTCGGTTTTATAGTTTACGTGGGTTATAAGTCGACTGAAATATTTGTTGTGAGAGAAAAACATTATTTTATTGACGATAAACTATACCGATAAGTTCAAGCCAACAAAACGATACATCAGTAATTGAGCGATTCATTAACAGTTTTGTTTTTGCGATGATTGGGGGATCGCTGTCGTGATATAAATTTTCGTACCTGGCACGAGATCTCCAGCCTGTTCGTTTACTCGTAAATAATCGTAAATTTCCAATCAAGAACAGTGTTTTTCTCTCACACCAAATTAGCCAACAGTAAATAATCCACGATACGAAACGGCCTCCGAACAGGCTGCTCGCTGTTGGACCCGACGCGGGCGTTGCCGTAGGGGACGAGCCGGAGGTGGACGGCGTCGATGAGCCCGTCCTCGAAGATCCCCGCGAGGTGGTTCACGATGAACCGCGAGCAGTACGGGCACAGCGACTCGTAGTAGAGCTCCAGGGAGACCTTCCCCTCCTCCGCGGACCCGCGCTGCGGCAGGAGGATCGCGCCGGCGGCGACGAGGAGGAGCACGAGCGGCGGCAGGAGGAGGAGGCGCTGGGGACTAGCCATGGTGCTCGATTGCTCGTGCCGTGTGTTTGCGTGCTAACGACTTTTCTTGCTTTCTTTTTCTTACACTGATTCCGTGGTGAGTGGCCATTGGCAAAGCATCGATCGGTTCTTCCGTACCGTCGTGAGGGAACTGATGATAGGGACGGGCCGGCCGGGGCGTGGAGTTTCGCGGTGTCCGGTGTCCCTGACTCGCTGTGTGTGGTGGCGGCCGATGCAACGCAAACCTGATGGTTACAGGGCCCCGTGATTTTTCAGCTGCCGGGAGACGTGCCAAGTTACCAGCGGCTGCTTGATTAAGGGCTGTTTGGTCCGGCTCCAGCTCTAGCTCCTGTGGACGAGTCTTATCAAATAATTTTTTTGGAGGATTTATTTTTGAGCCAGAGGAGCCGGAGGTGTTATGACTCCTACCAAATGGCTCTGACTCCTTAACACCCCTAAAAGTAGTAATGCACCACGCGAATACAGTTTCCTCTAGGAAAAGGAATAAAACACACACACAAACGACGTTAATTATCCGTACAAGTAATAATAATCCGAAAACACCCAGAGTCAGTGCAAGCATATGAACGGATCAGCTCGGCAGGTTTGACCAGCTGACTGACTACCTGATAACGAAGTTCATAGTAACTGAATCAAAGCAGCATATAAGCAGTCTGATGAGTTTTGCATAACCACTAATTAATCAGCATTCAGCAGGCCCATGCCCCAGCCCATCTCCGACGACGAGCCCGCGTAGTAGGCCGTGTCAGCCAGCAGCTCGGCGATGAGCTGGTCCACCCCCGTCTCCTAGTCGCAGTCCAGGATGGCGTCGATGAACGCCGCCGCGCCGTCATCGCCGCCGCCGCCGCCACCGACACCAACAATGCCACCGTCGTCACCGCCGGCCGCCGAAGCGCTGCTGCTGCTCCCAGCGCCGTGAACGGTGATGCCGCTGCCTGCGCCGGCGGTGGCCGCCGCCTCGTGGTGGTACTGCCCAATAACAACCTGCTGCTGCTGCTGAGCCTCGGCCGCGGCCGCCGCCGCCGCGGCGTCGTCGGCGAGGAAGTCGCTCCACTTGAGCTGCTGGCCCTGGCCGTGCTCCGTCGTCGGCGACGCGGGCGCGTCCGCGTCCACACGCGCGATGACGACCTGCTGCTGCTGCTGCGCCGGTGTCATCGGTGGCAGCATGCCAGCCGCGTGGTACGCGACGTCGTGGACGAGCGGGAGCGCCGGCGCGGGGAGGTAGGTAGCGGAGCCGCCGTTGGGAGAGGGCGCTGGTTGCGGCGGCCGGATGGCGAGCGCGCCGAGGCTGTGCATGAGGTCGGCGATGGGGCGGTGGGTGGTGGGGTCGATCCCGCGCTGCCGCAGCTTCTTGCTCAGCTTCGTGTTCCAGTAGTTCTTCACGTCGTTGTTCGTCCGCCCCGGCAGCTGGTTCGCGATCAGAGACCACCTGCAAAACGCACGCAGTTCGATCGTCGCCCTGATCAGCGCACCATCGACGACGCCGTGCCAGACATCGATCTACGGATTCATGCAATGCATATGGCTCGATCGCACTACAATTTCCATTGCAGGTTAATTAAGATGCATTTCAAGATGACTTACTCTATGACTACGAGTGTAGTACTGTAGTGTAATAGTACTACTATGGCTACGAACGAGTGAGATGGAAGCATCGATTCCAATCAACTTTGCATGCGCGCACGCATTAGCTTCGTTCGCTTCTCTTATAATCTGTATTTTTCAGTTTGTTTTTTTAGTTGGAATAGTTTTTTTTCTCTCACAACGAATCAACCGGAATAGTATTTCAGCTTGTTTTTTCCGCGAAGCGAACGGGCCTGTGGCTGAGAACTCCAACGGTCTCCCCGACGGTGTCATGTCGTTTTCATTCGCATCAAGCTAGGGTTCAATCCATCACCAACGGCGCTGATGCGAGAACTACTGAACTAGCTGTCCGTTTCTAGGGCTTGTTTGGAATGAAGACGTCAATTTCTCTAGAAAATTGCATTGCTAGGATTGGTTTTAAATTTAAGCTAACAGTTCCTTAAGATTATTCAGAATCTCAGATCCTGCAGACTCCGGCTTCCCAAACACGTACCCGATTACTAGTAATTTTCATGTGAAACATATGTTTACAATTTTACCGCAGAACAATGCCCAGAAGAATCACCTACAGTACATGGATTCATAATATTTTTTAAAAATCTTTATAAGAACTATAGGACGTGTCTTTCATAATTCAGATCTTCTTCAGTGCAGCAACACTCTCTAATGCGATAATTAGTTTCAAAACTGCATCGAGATAGATAATAAATCGGCTTTATCTGTAGTACTACAAAGGATCTAAACACTATCCAGTTCCTAACTGAGAAGTCTGAAAGATGATGCGAATGCATGTTGTCGAGGTAGTAGCTGTGGAAACAAATCAAATGACCATATACTGTAGGAGTACATGATTTGCAGCACTGTACTGTGTACCTGCTTCCAAGCATGGCGTGGAGGGTGACGATGAGGTCTTCCTCCTCCTGGGTGAAGTTCTCATGCTTCAGGTTGGGACGCAGGTAGTTGGTGTTGTTATAAACTGTGGATCATCTGGCAGTCGGTCTAGAGGGTAGACATCAAGAGCGGTAGACTACAGCAACGATGTAGACCTAGAAAGCTATCTAGAGGAAGGAGAAGGTGTCGAACCTGAGCCTCCAGATGATGTCGCGGTTGTGCCAGCCATCGCGGGTTCGGTGATGGAGGCAGCACACGGGCAGCGACGGGTGGAGTAGAGGTTGCACGGACGTCGATGCAGTGCGGTCGGGCGTGGCAGTGGCGACGGCGAGGATCAGTGGAGCTTCCCGTCGCTGGCTGCGCGCCCTCTCGAGATCGGTCTAGGGTTTTGTCGGTGGGTTTGCGGCTCACGGTGAACCTCGTCCCTTGAGCCGCCGGCCCCCACCTCTTTATATAGCGCAGTGCGACGGGGGCCCACCAACCATGTAGGGTTGGGCGCCCCCGATCAGGGCGCGAGACCAAGGCCCAATAGGCCGTTGGGCTTATTGGTCAGGAGATCAATCTAACATTCTCCCCCTTGATCTCACTATTACTTTTATCTTTAAACTTTAAAACTTCAATCCTTTTATCCTTACTCATTTCTTCAGATGATGATGCATAGAGCATGTCTCATAAATCACGGTCAATCGCCGATAGATTTTAATACTACAATGCACGTCTCTCGATCCGAAATAGTTACTTTAACTTTTGGGCCCTTTATGGTCCGGGAATCATAGGCTTTCCCTTAAACCCATGCCGGCTACATGTTCTCTCGAACACGTTGGGTGGTAAGCCTTTTGTAAGCGGATCCATGAGCATCTTTTCGGTACTTATATGCTCAAGACTTATCATTTGATCCCGGACTTTATCCTTCACAACATAATACTTTATGTCAATGTGTTTGGCAAAGCACCACTTGACCTATTGTTGTGAGCATATTTATCATCTTTGGATTATTATCGCAAGATATAACCTCGATGGTCTATTGATGTCGTCAACCACCTTCAAACCGGTATGAACTTCTTTAGCCAGTTCACCCGCCCGTTGCCTCATAACATGCTACAAAACTCGGCATACATTGTGGACGATGTAGTGACGGTTTGCTTTGAGCTTTTCCATGAAATAGCTCCCCTGCGAGAGTAAACACATATCCAGACGTGGATTTTCTATTATCTCCGCATAGTCGAATCTGAATATCCCACTATATGGAGTGAATCGGATCTTCTATACGTCATCATGAGGCCTTTCGTTCCTTGCAAATAACGCAAGACTTTCTTTACCAATTTCGGTGTTCTATTCCGAGATTGCTCGAATCGCCAAGTAACCCGGTAACAAATGCCAAGTCGTATGTAGCGTACACACTTGAGCATATTGCAAGCTTCCGACAATTTGAAGCATATGGAACCACTTTCATTTGATCGATCTCATATTGGTTCCGGGCATTGAAAATCCCCATATCTGTCGCCCTTGACTATAGGAGCGGTGAGGGACTACATTTGTGCATACTTGAATTTCTTTAAGACTTTTTCTATGTATGCCTTTTGTGACAGTCCTAATACCCTTTACTTCTATCTCGGTGAATCTCGATCCCTAGAACGAACGAAGCTTCACCAAGATCTTTCATATCAAACTTTGAGGACAAAAACTTCTTTGTTTCCGAGAGTAGTGACATCACTACTAGCAAGTAAGATATCATCCACATACAGGACAAGGAAGATAAACTTCCCATTCTTAAACTTTATGAGACACAATTGTCCTCAACATTATCTTTAAACCCAAAATTCTTTATTGTTCGATCAAACTTCAAGTACCATTGTCTTGAAGCTTGTTTTAATCCATAAATGGATTTCTTTTAGCCAAGCATCCCAAACGTTCTTTTCCTTCTATGACAAAACCTTTTGGTTGTGCCATGTAAACATTTTCTTCTAAGTCTCCGTTGAGAAATGCCGTCTTTACATCCATCCGATGTAATTCCAAATCGTAATGTGCCACTAATGCCATTATGATTCGAAGGAATCCTTACACGAGACCGGAGAAAAGTCTCATTGTAATCAATCCCTTCTCTTTGTGTAAAGCCTTTTGCCACAAGTCGGGCTTTATATCTTTCTATATTCCTTTGAGAGTCAAGTTTTGTTTTGTAGACCCATTTCTGACCCTCTTGTTTTGGCTCCTTTAGGAATTATCTCCAAATCCCAAACTTTATTTGCATTCATTGATCTCATCTCATCTTCCATGGCCTCAAGCCACTTTGATGAATGATCACTTTTCATGGCTTCTTCAAATGAGGTGGGATCATCCCCCATTTGAAATTCTTCAGTGTTGTACACTTCATAATCAGCAGAAATAGCTGATTTTCTAACTCTTTGAGACCTTCTAGGGGCCTCCTCAATTGGCACATTTTCTGTTTGAGGTTGTTGTTGCTCCCCCTCATGTGTGGCAATAGGTTCTATAGGATCCTGAGCCACAGGTTCCTCATCATCATTCATTGTTGCCACAAAGGGGGATAACAACAGTCTTTGGCACCACAGTTGTCTTGTATCTTGTTAGTGCGGCAAACAGCAGTAGTGAGAAAAATGGCTCATGAATGATCGGAGTGGGTGCATACACCCGCTTCTCTTCAAGGTCAATTTCTCGAGCTACCATGCTCCCCCTAATCATTTCATCCTCTAGGAAGACAGCATGTCTCGTTTCCACAAACTTTGTATGTCTCATTAGGGACAAGAGAAACGAAAACCTTTTGACTTTTTTCCGGGTAGCCAATGAAATGGCAACTCACTGCTTTTGGGATCTAGCTTCCCAATGTTTGGGTTAAAACTTTAGCCTCAAAGTAGGCTCCCCCACACACGCAAGTGGTTAAGTGATGGTACTCTTCCTGTCCACAACTCATACGGTGTTTTGGGCACCGACTTACTTGGTACTCTATTGAGAATATGAATGGCGGTTTTTAACGCCTCCATCCACAGACTCGTGGGTAAAGTGGAGTAACTTATCATACCACGCACCATATCCATCAAAGGTGCAGTTACGCCTTTCGCCTACTCCATTCTCTTTGAGGTTCGCCCGGTGTTGAATCTGGGCGACTATACCATTCTCCTGTAAGAACCTTGCAAAAGGTCCAGGAACTTGTCCATATGGGGTATGCCGACCGTAGTACTCTCCTCCACGGTCAGACCTGACTATCTTAATCTTTAAATCATGCTGATTTTCAACTTCTGCTTTAAATATTTTAAATTTATCCAACGCCTCTGTTCTTTCTTTAATTGGATAAATGTAGCCAAACCGAGAGTAATCATCTGTGAATGTTATGAAAGAATCATAACCATCCACACTTTTCACAGGAAAAGGACCACATATGTCTGTGTGAATAATCTGTAGAATTCCTGCGCTTCGTTTGGCATCTTTCTTAATTTTCTTTACATACTTTCCTTTTATGCAATCTCTACATTGTTCTAACTCTGAGAGCTCTAATGGAGGAAGAATATCATTCTTAACTAGTCTTTCTATTCTCCCCCTCGAAATATGGCCTAAACGACAGTGCCATAATTTCGACAACGCATCTTGAGCTCTCTTTCGTTTTCTGTTTACATTGTTCGATGAGGATACATTTTCATTCACATCACATACGGAATTAACATTTTCACGAAGTGATAACAAATAAAGCTCGTCTTGTCGGAAGGCAAGACCAATACATTTATTATTAAACAATATCTGACATTTGCCATTTCCAAAATGGCAATCATAACCATCATGGTCCAACTTTGAAACACTAATCAAATTTCTTTGCAAAGAAGGTACATAAAGAACATCTCTAAGAATAATTATGAAGCCATCAGCAAGCTCTAACGGAAGATCACCAACGGCCTCAACATCTGCTTGTTCTCCATTTGCTACTTTAATGAAACTTTCGCTTCTTTGCAAAGTTATCATCGAACGGAATCCCTGTAATGAATTAGCAACATGAATAGTTGCACCTGAATCAATCCACCAAGTAGATTTTGAAAACTTTACATACAAGGATTCATTCTGAACGTAATAATGTTCTCACCTTTATTCTTCATAATCATCTTTAAGAAATCAGGACAATTCTTTTTATAATGCCCCTGTCTTCTTGCGGTGGAGACAACGGTCTTTAGCCACTGGGAATTGCTGGTTCTGAGACTGTTGCATGGGACCTTTTCCAGATGATTTGGAGGAAGAACTATTATTATAGTTCTTTTTCTTATCTTTTAGGTAGTTGACAGAACCACCTTGTGAAACTTTTATTCTTTCCTCCTCCTGCACACACATGGCTATGAGCTTTTCCAAATCCCATTTTTCAGGCTGTATGTTGTAATTAACAACAAATGTGTCAAATTCTTTGGGCAAAGAAGCAAAAATCAAATGAATAAGAAACTCATCCTTGAGTGCCAAATCCATTGGTTTGAGCTTAGATGCCAGATTGCTCATTCTCAGTATGTGCTCTCTAATGCCACTGCCGCCACCAGAGTACCTTTCTGTGACCAGCTGCTTGATCAGCTGGGTTGCATATGTCTTTGAAGAGCCAGTGAATTGACTCTTTATTCTGTCTAGGTACTCTGTGACCGTGTCACAGTCTGGAATTGAGCCCACTATAGCAGGCTCAATCGTGTTCTTTATCACTGCCAGACACTTCTTGTTGGCAGTGACCCATTTCCTATGCTCAAGGTCATAGGACATCTTTACGGGAGCAAAATCCCGCTCTCTGTTCTACCATGTAGTATCAGTCTCATCTGTTTCCCTTACCGGTGCCTCAGGTTCTTTAGGGCACGGTGTGGTGACAACCCAGTCAACCTCAGCGAGGATAAAGGCCAGGTCTATCTTTTTCTTCCACTCAATATAGTTATCACCTTTTAGAGTGGGGATTTCTTTGATACAACTCATCAAGTTGTATCCTCCCAAAAAAACATAATTCAAATAGGGTGAGAACAGAAATAACAACAATAATTGCATGCCTTAGTTTAACGTTGGTCAAAATTAAAACATACAATTATTTTCTACACTAATTCTACATCACCGTTGGGCAGAAATAGAATTAATGTATAACAAAAAACATTATAATATTGTCATTAATCAACGTTGGTCAGAATAACAACAACATTATAATCAATTTAAAACATATCCATTTTCAAAATTAAATTCTCCCGTTGGTTCGAATTTAATAATGAAAATTACATCTTTAAATACGCAGCGGAAACTTTAACATTTAATAATCTTTTCCTATTTTCCAGAAGCAAATTTACTATTTACTGAACAAAAAATATCGTTGGATAAATTTTGTACAGAAAATTATCATAAAAAATCAATTCAAATTGATCAAACTGTTTTCTGGAAAATAAGAAAACAAAAACTGTAACAATATCTGTTCATTTGACCATTTGGCCCGGAAGACACGCTTGTGCTTGCACAATGCCAAATAAACTGCCCAAGCCCAATGGCATGCCCATCCGCATGGCTTCAGTAGTGCCCGCTACCACTGTGGCGAGCTCTCTCCCAGCGCCGAGCCGCAACTCTGGGCTGGGCGGGATTCGACCTTGTGCCCTATCCACTTTGGGCTGCGGCCTGCCTGGCCCGATCGCCCGTGGCCGTCCATCTCCATCCGACGGCTGCCCACGCGCGTCGCGAGATCAAAACCCAGCCCGACCGCAGCACGCGCGCCCTTGACCTAGCATCATTCGGCCCGCTCTCTCTCTCTTCGCCCTCTCTCCTCTCTCCACTCGGTCCCCATGGCAGCAGTAAATCGAGCGAGGAGCTTCGACGGCGAGAGAGCTCAGCAAGCCCCGACGCCGTCTCCGGCCCCCTCGCCCGGCGTGCGCGCTCCCCAGTGGGTGAACGCGCCGCCGTCGAGCTGCCCTGTCATCAGCGGCGCCCTAGTGGCGTTCCGGTGAGCGAGATCACCCCCGCCGACCCTTTCTTTTTTTTCCAGCGGCAACATGCACGACGGTGAGGTGAGCCGTGCGAGCCACCCTCTTTCTTTTCTTTCCCTTTCTATTTCTTTGATTCGGATTTGGCCCGATTTTGATTAGGGTTAGGGTTTGCTTTTCCGATTTGAAATCGGTTCTTTTCCCCTTCTCGGTCAATCACCGAAGCGGGTTAGGGTATGGGTTGGAGGCGGCATTGTTTTCTTTTTCCCGAATCACCTTCGGGTTTTAGGGTTCGTTCTTTGCATGAAAACCAGAGCCCTTCTTTTCTCGAATCCGACGGATCGAGTTAGGGTTCAACCGAACGTCGGGTGACCCTTTTTTTCGCTTAGATCCATCTTTGGATCTAATCAACTTTTCTTTTTCTAATCGGTACCCGTTCTAGATCTACGTGCTAGTAGGCTCGATACCATTGTTATAAACTGTGGATCATCTAGCGATCGGTCTAGAGGGTAGACATCAAGAGCGGTAGACTACAAAGAACGATGTAGACCTAGAAAGCTATCTAGAGGAAGGAGAAGGTGTCGAACACGAGCCTCCGGATGATGTCGCGGTTGTGCCCCGACCATCGCGGGTTCGGTGATGGAGGCGACACACAGGCGGTGACGGGTGGAGTAGAGGTTGCACGGACGTCGATGCAAAGGCGGTCGGGCGTGGCGATGGCGCGCGGCGAGGATCGGTGGAGCTTCCGTCATTGGTCGCGCCCCTCTCGAGATCGGTCTAGGGTTTTGTCGGTGGGTTTGCGACTCACGGTGAACCTCTCGTCCCCTTGAGCCGCCGCCCCACCTCTTTATATATAGCTTGAAGGCGACGGGGCCCACCAACCATGTAGGGTTGGGCGCCCCCGATCAGGGCGCGAGACCAAGGCCCAATAGGCCGTTGGGCTTATTGGTCAGGAGATCAATCTAACAGGTGTACCTCAGCCTGCAGCTCTTGCCGCACCTCTTCAGCCCTGCATCATCACATCATGCACCGTCGTCCAACGCCCCCATCAGCCAAACAAAACAAAATGGCACGCACGCAGAGATATCATCACACACAGCAGGCCCTCATCTGGTCTGGCCTGGTGCACGGCACGATCACCTGCTCTCTGGGGCACGTTGGTCCAGTTGCCGGTGCCATGGGTGGAGGTGTAGGCCAGCAGCTTGGCGTCCTCCTCCGGCGTCCACGGCCCCTTCTTGATCACGTTCGCCTTGTCGCAGCACGGCGGCCTCCCCATCGATCGGCCGGCCTCGACGACGACCAACCACCGCTGGCGAGCTCGAGAGCTCTGACGACGATGGCCGGCCGGCCGGAGACGAGATGAGATCACCCCTGGAGAAAAGGTGATATTGCTAGTACGTATGGATGGAGAAGGAGGCCGGCTGCCACAGCCACGGTAACAACATGTTGGGGGCGTCGGGGGAGGTGGATCCACGCGACGAAGGCGTGACCCCCTCCCCCTCATTTAAGATTTAACTAGCCACGGCATGGTTACTGTCAATCACGCAGGAAATGGTTAGATTAGGGAAGAAACGCTGGTTTCCTCGTTGTTTATGGCGGTGGCGGCAGTATAATAGGGCGCGTGTGCAACTGCTTCCCTCCGGCAAATCAACAGCCTATTAGGCGAGGGGTTTAGCTGCGGGTTGGTGTGGGTAATAATCTTCACCCTATTATCGTTTGCGTGGCTTATAAGTCGACTGATGTTGTTTTGTTGTGAGAGAAAAATATTGTATCATGGCTAATAAGCATGGCTGATACGATTAAGCGAACATGGTGCTTATCGTTGGGGGTGATGGTGAGGTTTAAAATTTTCACGAGTTTTGCATTGGCCTTGGCCCCGGAGCGCCGCCAAATCGGTTTTGCATTGGCCTTGGCCCCGGAGCAGATCAGGTCCTCAGCACTGCGCATCGCTTCTGTGCTGGACGTACTACGCGTCATGAACTTGCGAAAGATGTGATCGGTTCAGCTGTGTATATGAAATGAGATGGAGAAATGCTAGAGAGGTTAGGTTCGTCCAAATGTGCGCTCTGGCATGTGAATGGCAAACACCCGGTTGCAAAATGGAAAGAGAATCTAATTGGACAAAAAAAAAATGAAAAGGGTGAAAAGAGAATCTAAATTGGGCAAAAAATTTTTTGCCAAAGGCTGAAAAGAGAATCTAAACTGGGCAAAAAAAATTTGAAAAGGGTGAAAAGTGAATATAAACTGGGCAAAAAAAAACTGTAAAAAATATATCAGAGACAGGTTTCGATCCTGTGACCTGTGGGTTATGGGCCCACCACGCTTCCGCTGCGCCACTCTGATATTGTTGAGTTTTTCCTGTTAGAAAGTCTGATATCGTTTAATCAGTTTCTGTTAGCCTCGTACTCACACAGCATCTTCACCGACAGGCGCTGCGTTTCCCGATCCACCGTCCACCCGACATCTCACCGCCTGCCCGCAGAAAGAGGACAAAACGAATTGAAAAAACGCCGCAGGAGGAGCCAATCAGCGCGCGCCAGGCTACGCGCTCCGAGAAGGGTAGCCCCGTCCTCGCCGGACGCGTGTAGCACCCGCGTCGAGCGGCTATAAAAATAGCCGCCTGCGGCACGGCTCCTCCTCTGCTCTCCAGCTGATCTGTTTCGTTTTCGTATGTGCCTGCACTCAATACTGTGCTGGTCGAGAGCTTAGTTCTAGCGGTTTCGTTTCCAGAAGATGGAGGATTCGGTGGGCGTGGAGGAGAGGAGGGAGCAGAGCGAGACGACGCCGAACAAGAAAGCGCGTCAAGAAGTAGGGGAGGCCGGCGGTGTTGGCGGCGGCGGCGGCGGCGGCAAGCCAGGTGAGGAGGGCGGATTCCTGAGCGCCATGGCGTCCAAGATCGGCGCGACGATGTCCGGGACCAATGGCGGGAGCGGCGGCGAGGTCGTCAGTGCGACCGTGGCGTCCGATGGAGAGGAGGGGAAGAGGGACATTAACGGCAACGGCGAGCCGGGTGAGGAGGGAGGGTTCCTGAGCGCCATGGCGTCCAGGATCGGCGCGGCGATGTCCGGTGCTAACGGTGGCAGCGGCGACGGCGGCGGTGGCAATGCGGCCGCGGCGTCTGGTGGCGAGGACAAGGAGGCGGACGGTAGTGGCGGCGGCGGGATCTTCCGGAAGCTGCTGCACAGCTCGCCCCCTGCGCCACCGCAGGCGTCAGGTAAGGACCGTCTGTTCTCCGGTCTCCGCGGCCAGTTGGATCAGGAAATGTTTGCATCTTTGCAATTGACCGATTGATTCGTGTAGGAGCAATGGAAACAGAGGAGGTGAAGGCAGGTGAGCAAGCCGGGATTCTGAGCGCCATGGCCACCAAGATCGGCATGGCCATGTCTGGTGCGAATGGTGATGACAGCCGTGGCGATAGCGGGCACGACGACGCCAAGGCGAGCAATGGTGAAGCGGTTCGTGGCAATAATGGTGAAGAGAAGAAGGGGGAGGAAGCCAATGGTGGCGGCATTCTTAGCGCGGTGGCTTCCAAGATCGGCGTGGCGGTGTCAGGCGCCAATGGCAACGGGAACCACAGTGCTGGGGATGATGCCAAGACGAGCACCGGCGACGCTGGTCATGGTGGTAGCAAGGGCGAGGAGAAGGGGCGTGATGTGAATGGTGGCAGAATAGTTGAGCAGATCATTTCCAACCTGCCCTCAGGTATATGATTCGAATTAAGAGTATTACGGAAGCTACACTATCTGACAAAATAGACCATTTGTGCCATCATGTTGTATTGAAGTTTGAACTGACAATCTCTCCTCTGTATACTGCAGATGATCAGGCGCCAGATGCCGATGAAGCTTCCTTGCTCATCGCCATTATCAAAGATTAGCTCCATGTTCCGGAGGCTCTAGGTCATGACTGAGCAAAAGCGGATAGCGCTAGCATGTTATTCTCTCCCCTCGCTAGCACGTTATTCCCTCTCCTCTGTCACCAATAAAAACTCACCTCAGCTGGTGATTTCACCACTGTTGGGGACACCTTAGGAACTGTGGATGCATGCAAGAGTGTCTCGTAGTCTTGAGTTATCTTAGTAGACATTTATCTTAGTAAACATCATGTAACGAGGCTTAGCTGATTCGGTTTCTTGTGGTAGAATCTGCCTATCTAGTTCTATATTCTCGACACGAGCTGAATTTATTCTAGGATTTAATAGTAGTAGGTGATGTACCCGTCGATAACGAAATGTCTACTGTAACCTTGTCATTTCTGAAATCTTATAACTCAAAGTCTTTTGAAGGTGCTCGTAGAAAATGATGACCATGTGTGCATATACGAGCATCTGTATCTACACTATGCTACTATGATATGCAAAAAAGAAATATAATATCTTTTCTTTTAACTGTCTCACAGGAACTCATGATTTCCTAATTTATACACTTATACATTGACAAAAATGTTGTGAGTTGGTAACAACTAATATAACGGTACAGGTCTCATAGTTCTAAATTTTAGATTACGAGCTATGGTTCCACAAAACCACTCTCTTTAACAATTCCCTCCTTCTTCTTTATACTTGTAAAATATCTTATATAGCACTACATGAGAAATTTTATACATCACTGCATGAGAATGCCATGAGCCTATCAACATGTAGCAATATAAGTACCCTCTAGAGAGAGGTTTTATTGTTGGACAGGAGTGATGCTTGCTTTTCACTTTTCAGACAAGACTTGCGAATTACTGTTGCCGGCTCTTTTATGTGGCAATGGCAACAAAATGTACATGCTATTTTAAACAAAATCAAAGATTTAATTGTCGAGATACATTTATCCTGACAGAATGACATCACAAATATTATGCAATAATGGCATTGACGGATAAAATGCAGAAGGCTGAAAAAAGGAGTTCTGTGTGGATCACTTTGATGTCTTGATTGCATCAGCAGTGATGGAGCAGCGAAGGAAAGAGCAACAAACGTTCAGTGACTTCAGACTTCAGTCAGCAACGCCAACAGATTGCAACAATAAATAGACACCCGTTGGCTGCAGATGTCGAGAATAACATAAAACACATTTGAGAACAAGTAAACAACTCAGTCAATGTCATCATGATCGATATTGATCAGGGTGGATCTCTTAGGCGCTCCAGTAGTCCAGTTATAACTATGAAGCCAGGCAAGGTATTCCGAATAGTAAAAAAAATTTAGGTTACAAGATCTTTCATGAGATGTAGATGACTGGATGTTGCAAACAATCAGGTTCTTCTGCCAACGCTGCTCATACTCAGCTGGCTTCAAATTGACAACACCCATTTCAAGTATGCCGATCAAAGAACTTCTCAATTGCCACTGAGAACGCAGCAAACCCTGCACATCCAATGCATGTAGCTTTAGGGCCACCTGTAAATAAAAAACTCCCTTAGGCACATTTTCAAATATAGATACATCAGGATGGCAATATAGGAAATGTCTCCTCGTTCTTAGCTAGTTACCTAAGCAGGAAGGGATAGAAAACTTGTATGTCATACATACAAAAGGAACAGAAACACCTTTCAACTTCAGACTATGATCAGAAATGCAGATTTACAGTTAATACAGAACAGCTTATTCATTTCATCACATATATAATTTTTTATGATATAGGCAGGAAGACCAGAGGCACAAATAGTTGGAATAAAGCTGCTTGAGAGGTCAAAAATACCGATCCTGACAATCCATACAAAAGACAACGCCAATGATTGCACCATGAGATTTTACAGTTTTACTTAAGGAAACTTTGATAATTAAAAGTTAGGCAAATTGTCTCAGGGATTCATAGATGGCATGATAAACAAATTACCTTTTACAGCTAAAGCTCCTCCAGTGACACAGCCAGCTACCGCTGTATTGGTAGTGTCATGCTTTGCCCGAACCTGCCAAGGCATGCAAATACAAAGTTTAAATAGGAAGAGAACATGCCGAAACAACTATGAATGAAAAAAAAACTGTTACAATTATCTACCTTCTCTATGGTACATTCAGCTGCTGAGAAAATCAGACCCATGACTGCAAAGGTTTTGGCATTACTTATACTTCTCCTACCCATCTGCTTTGCTGTGTATACTATTTGCTGCCTTGCTGTCATCTCCTCTGCCATTATTGGATTGTCCAAAGCTCCAAAGAATAGTCCCATAAGTACACCAAGACCGCCTCCTAATGAATTGGAAGGATAGAGAGTTAATAAAAGTTCCCCATAGAAAAAAAATTATGCACACTGCTATACTTGTAACAAGAGCACTAGACTCTATTGAGTATCATTGCTGGCATGGCCAAGTAACTGATGTTGTGGGCTATTTAGCTTAAGGTAAGACAAGACATGATTTTCAGTCTACGGTACTAAACACCAAACTATAAAGCAGCTACTGAAGATTTGGTCATGTAGATGATAGACAGAGCACACATTATGAATATCACTAGTTCTGTCTTGTAAAACATTCTGAGAAACACAGACGTTGTGCATAAAAAATCACACTGTTACAGGGTTACACCAGGACAAATTTGTGTTACAGACCTTTGTAGATAGAAATAGAATGAAGCATTTGAAATCAAGCTTCCTTCAATAAACTAAGCATCAGATTCCCTCGTAATTCCTTGTAGTGAGTGAACATGATAATGTGACATGAATCATACCAAACAGTAAAAACATGAGCTTGCTTTTTACTGGTACAGAAAAACAACACTCTATGTTTATTGCTACATGCTTCTAGCGACACTGAAGGTAAAAGAGAAAAACAACGTAGGGTGTATTATTGCACAGAGTTAAATACAGCCTTTGAACCTTTGGGCAAATTCTTTGCAACCTACTTGAAATTTTCTTGAACCAATTCATGGAGTATATTCCATGACCATCAATTACCATGACAAAACTATACAAAATATTTGTGCTGCAATTACCTGAGGCAAGTACAACAAATATACTCCATTATCATATAACATTTTGCATTAAATTTCGTTTCAAGGATACTAAGATTTTTCTTTGATCTTGTCCAATAATTCCTTATAAGATCTCTGAACAGGTAAGAAAAGACAGCCAAAATGATTAAAATAAAACCAACTCCGAATTGATGCAATGTGGCACACGAGTCTCTTCACACTTACAAAAGTAGCTTTATATGTTTCAAACTCTTTGGACAAACAAGGTAAGAGCTAAGGGTGTGGTTGGTTTGAGGAACCATGCCATGCTATATGAGGTGGACAGGTGCTGCATGATGAATTCATCCCATGAATTTTGGTGGAATCAACCCATTCCTCATGCATATACAAATTATTAGCTTGTGAATGAGGTGGTGATGGATGAACCGATTCCATTCAACAAACAACAAAATGAGGAGTGAGAAGACGATGGAGCACCTCATTCCCCGAACCAAACAATGCCCCAAGTATATAACCATGTAACCAATGAACAACTGCCTCCTACAATACCTCTCAATTTCTCTATCACTATCCAATCTCCAAGCGACCAACCGATTAACATTTAAGCTCCCAATAAGGGAGGGAGGGAGGGAGGGCTCACCCATGACGCCACTGACGACGCTGCGGACGGCGCAGTTGTTCCAGATGTCCTGCCCCTTGATCTCCTCCACCGTCGGCATCCGGATCGGCTCCACGGTCGCCGCCTGGCTCGTCGACTCTCCCCCGGCGCCGGCACCTGCCGCCGATGGATCAGGGGAAGCCATCCCTCGCTATCTAGTCCCCTTACACTCTCCTCTAGGCGACAGAGATGGCAGCAGCCGCACCGCAACTAGCGAGAGGACGGTTCTGAAAGTTCGAGAGGCGGGTTGGGTGGAGACTGGAGAGGAGCTGGGTAGTGTAGTATCCCCGGCGGCGGCTTAGTTTTCTTAAACCCTCCTCCAAGAAGAGAGGGTCGGCGCCGCGCAGGGAAAGCAGAGGAGGAGGGTATTCCGGACCTCACGTGAGCCACACGTGATGACGTATAGTAGTTCCAAGTTTACGCCAAAGTTCAAGGGAAACGGAAACCAAGAGACAGCGCCAACCCTCATCATCCGACCCATAGCGGGGCCGTTCGATTCGTTCTCAGGTTCCCTTCCCCAAGCACAACACAGAGCATCGTCTGCTCGCCCGCACCCCGCCGCCGCCGTCTCTCCAAAACCCAACCAAACCCTAGATCCGCCGCCCTCAGCTCCGGTGAGACCCTCCTCCCCAGAGAAGATGCCGAACCTCGAGTGCCGGATGTATGAGCAGCGGTTCCCGGAGGTGGACGCCGCGGTGATGATCCAGGTGAAGCACATCGCTGACATGGGCGCGTACGTCTCCCTGCTCGAGTACAACAACATCGAGGGCATGATCCTCTTCTCCGAGCTCTCCCGCCGTCGTATCCGCTCCATCTCCTCCCTCATCAAGGTTGGCCGCCAGGAGCCCGCCATCGTGCTCCGTGTCGACCGCGACAAGGGCTACATCGACCTTTCCAAGCGCCGCGTCTCCGAGGAGGAGGCGCACGCGTGCGAGGACAGGTACAACAAGTCCAAGCTCGTGCACTCCATCATGCGCCACGTCGCCGAGACGCTCGAGGTCGACCTGGAGCCGCTCTACCAGCGGATTGGCTGGCCACTCTACCGCAAGTACGGCCACGCCTTCGAGGCCTTCAAGCTCATCGTTGCCGACCCTGACGCCATCCTCGACGCACTCACCTATGAGGAGAAGGAGGTCGGCCCAGACGGCCAGGAGGTTAATTCTGTCTCCTTGCAGAATTGCAAATCGCTTACACTAAATTACCTGTGTGCTTTATGCTATACCCTGAATAGAACAGGAGTTAGCAGATTAATATTGTTATTGTTTGTGCATGTTAACTTTTCTTATCAGGACTCTGCCATTAATCATATACTTCTATTAATAAACTTAGGTCTATAGTACATTGTATTTTCTTTTTGGAACTTTATTAAGTCTTCTATTGTTAGACCTCTCTAGTCTTTTAGAGCCATACTAGTTTGTGGCCCTGTTGTTGAGTTTTTGCCCCATATTAAGCTTGTCTGTTGAATGGTTATTTCCAGCTTTGTGGATGTCGTTAAGTAGATAACACTGAGATTGTTAATTGGTTTGACATTTTTATGCTTGACATCTGTTAGTTGAAAACAATCCTTATCAATCTAACATTCACCATTGCAACCTGGTAGTCATTCCTGTGGCTACTTATGTTTTGTTGAACATGATTAGATTTAGTGGTGGACAGATTAAGTTTGTTTGGATGTTGCAGACTTGTTCCATGTCCTTATTTAACACTAGGCATTTTTATGTGTTTACGGGTACATACTATGTCGACTTAAGGAACCAGTAGGAATTTATGTAAAAACTATAGCAGTAGTTTGTTGAACTTTTTTGGATCAGTACCAATTTGTATATAATTTAGTTTGTTTGTCTGTCTATGAATACTTGTCCTTGGAATGGTAAATCCTGGCCTGTCGACTCATTTTGAACTAATGTGAAACGCACGCCTTTCAAATTATTATTAACTGATCAGGAATCGTTGAATATATCAAGTTTGGAATTTCCATGCAGTAGATAGACAGTAGTAAAGCTTGGTTTAGGTGCTTAACTTCGTATGCAGTTTATTGTATAGGCAAACAGTTGCCAAAATTCTGTGCATTGATTTAAGAGTTCTGATTTTGTTATTGGAATGATGTTCCTGCTTATGTTGATACTTTGTTGTTGAAAAGAATTATGGATTTGCTCTGGATGTATTTATATAGAACTTTTTGAGACAAGAATGTGCTTAAAATTACTGATAGGTGACTAAGGTGGTGCCTGCTGTCACCCCTGAGGTTAAGGATTCCCTGGTGAAGAACATAAGGAGGAGGATGACACCTCAGCCACTCAAGATCCGTGCTGATATAGAGATGAAATGCTTCCAGTTTGATGGAGTGCTCCATATTAAGGTTCTAAATGCCTCTATTGTCGCCCTTGTGATTTGACAATGGTATATGCAAAAACTAATTATTATATCTGTATTCGCAGCAAGCTATGAAGAAAGCTGAAGCTGCGGGCAATGATAACTGTCCTGTGAAGATTAAGCTAGTTGCTCCTCCACTTTATGTTCTGACCACACAGACTCTTGACAAGGTTGGCATTACCTTAGTACTCAATCCATCCCAAATTGTAAGACGTTTGACTTTTTTGACACCAAGTTTGACCACTCGTCTTATTCAAAAATTTGTGTAAAATATCACTTCTTTCGTCGTGGTTTGGTTTATTAATAAAAATTCTTCAAGAATGACTTAAATTTGACTATATTTGCACAAATTTTTTGAATAAGACGAGTGGTCAAACTTGGAGCCAAAAAAGTCAAACGTCTTACAATTTGGGATGGAGTAGTACTTAATATATGTGGGCAACTTGTTATAGCTGAGCTATTTGATAAAGTTTTGTATGTGTCTCTGTGATGTGGCCCATTACCTTCCAGGCTGCACTTATATGTTGCTAAGAATAGTTGTCGCCTGCCAACCATTATTGTGGCGCTTGTTCTGTTTGTTTATACTTTTGATCTTTTGCCTTTTACTGGGAACCTGATTTACTGGTTAGCGTTGTGCTTGGAGTCACATTGCACAAAATGCAGTGACCAGACTTTTATAGTGCGGTAGTGCCTGCACTACTTATAATGTAGTAATCTGTCAAAATGGTTCTTATCAATGTAATTTACAATTATTGACTACACAAAATGCATCTGCCAAATTTATAGTGCTGTATTTTTCTGATTCCAGACTTATCATGGTTCTTATGAATGTGGTTCACAATTTTTGCCTTCATTCGAATTAGGGAATTATTCAGCTAGCTTGGATCACTGGAATGCTATTTCTTATTACTTGTTAACAGAATGTATATTAGGCAGTCCAAAAATATATTAGCTACCCATTATTTGCATGCTTATCGAATGAAAGACCTTGTTTTGCCTTTACTATGTTGTAGTGTGATACTTGTACATGCATGTGAGCATGGGTCATCTTTACATTTAACCCCATGTATTGCAATCGATGTTCTTTTAGTTTGAAACCTAGCATTACGGTTAAGGCCGCATCATATCCTTCCTATCCATAAAACAATTATCATTGTTTCTATTCTGTGTTGCCTTTGAACAGGAACAAGGCATTTCAGTTCTCACTGATGCAATCAAGGCTTGTACAGAAGAGATTGAAAAATACAAAGGAAAGTTAGTAGTGAAGGAACCACCAAGAGCTGTAAGTTCTTTTCAACATCTGTTAATTCTTTTATATTCCCATCCCAAGTATGTTAGTCTTCCATGTGCATGTTCTAAAACCTAAAGCTGTGGATACTCTCTGGAAAACAGGTTAGCGAGCGGGAAGACAAGCTATTCCTCGACCAGATTGATTCCCTAATGGAGCAAAACGCAGAGGTCGATGGTGACGCTGACAGTGAAGAGGAGGAAGATACAGGAATGGGCGACGTCGACATTACAAATTCTGGCGTCACTGCTTACTAAGGCTATACACTGGTTGATTTGGATGAGATTTGCTGTATAGCACCAGCTAAGATCTAAGCCGTTCTGTTTGGAAGCAGATTCTTTTTGTTAGGTTTTGGTGGCTGAAATCCCTTGAATTCACTAAAACTTGTTACCTGCGGTGTTAATGTGCTCAGCCGGTGTTGGGGCAGCTTTTACTTCTGTCGAGAAGCACCAAATTTTTCTTGGGGAGTGAAAACAAAACCGTTGCTACAGTGTTTATTCGCTTCATCATATACGCTGTTTTGTTTGCCTTGCTTTTTTTTTTTTTTGCTTCGTGCTGCCTATTCGAAATGCCCTGCTTCGCTAGGCTTGCGTCGTTTGGCTGTGGCTCGTTGTAAACGATCGTAAATTTTCAGCTGGAACAGTACTTTTCTCTCACACAAACCAGCCAGTAGTACTTCTTCACGAACCAGCAATGAAACGAATCAGCCAACCGAACAGGCTGTCTGCTGATTTACTAATAAACATGACCTTGCCCTTGTCACTGTGACAGGATGTATCATGTATAATTTGTTTCGCAGTGTTATTGCTAACGTCTAACGTTTGATTTTAGGGCTTACAGTAAATGCCAATGTAATAAAGTATTAATGCTATATACTCCCTTTGTTCTAAATTATAAGTCATTTTAATTTTTTTTTATCCATTTTTTTTAGATGCATAGTAAAATGAATGTAAAAAAAAAATCAAAACGACTTATAATTTAGAACAGAGGGAGTAGAAGATTAACTCAGCTTATGAGTTTGAAAGGTTAATAGGTGTTTTATATATGAATTTGAAAGGTGTAATGCAAGCTACACGCCACCATCAATGAAGGACGTGGGAAGAGTGATGGACGGACGGACGGTGAGGGATGCGAACAGGCTTAGCTGACCTGAACGACGGGGGAAGAGCGATGGGCGGACAGTGAATGATGCAAACAGGCTTAGCTGACCTGAACGACGGGGAAGAGTGATGGACGGACGGTGAGGGATGCGAATAGGCTTAGCTGACCGGGGCATGTTAGAGGGATGCGAATATGCTTGGCCAACCAAGCCATGTCATTTGTAGTGCTGACCAGGCCATGTTAGAGGGATGTGAACATGCTTAGCCAACTAGGCAATGTCATTTGTAGTGCTGATCATGCCATGTCATTACTAGTGCTCAACCAACGACGAACACGGAAGAAGAGTGTGATTGACAGACGGCGAGGAACAAAAGAGAAATGAG